AGAGTGAGGAGGGAGAGAGCCCTGATCTTCTGCCTGATGTTTGGGTGTGAAGCAGCCCCAGAGGTTGGCTGATCCCAGCCCAAGCTTCTGCTGATGTTTTCCAGTGCTGTTTGGAGTCTGCTCTTCAAAAAGGCACCATGGTTGTGTGTGACACAGGCAAAGACTTGAGGCCTCAGGGTATTTCATGGGGAGCAGAGGAAGCCCCTGGTTGCTGAAACACAACCTTCCACCCCAGCTTACTTACTCCTAGAGATATAACTTTATCTTAAGGCACACAGACCATCCCCAGGCACTCGTGCTCCTTGGGTGAACCAGCTGGATAGAAACATGAGACTTCCCATGCTCTCACAGCCATCAACAGGCAGAGGTCCCATGGGTGGCCACCACCTGTCTGGTCCTCACTGTGGCCTCCTGAGACCACACGTGGAGCAGCACATGGGAACAGTGAGCGAGGACACGAGCTGAACTCTCCTCCTCCCACTATGATGCTTCCACCACAGCAACGTCCTCCTTTCTGTACTGATCAGTGGAAATGGCCAAGAACCCCAAATGGAAGGACAACCACACCCTTCCTGCCCAAAATCACAGCATCTATGAAAACCACAGACCACGTGAGCTCTGCAACCACTTGCACCTTCCTTGTGGCAAACAGTGGGGGTTTGTAGGCACTAAAACCAACCAGATCAACACAGGGACAGGTGCCTGGGGGCACTCACCTGGGCGTGGAACTGGTCAAACGTCATGACAGGCCCGAAGAAGAAGAAAGGGAGGTAGAAGTTGTACTTGAGGAGGTCAAAGATGGAGTAGATGCCCTCTTTCTTCTCAGAGCTCTCGAGCGCGAAGCTCATGCAGCGCATGATGGTGAAGCTGCTGCCTCCATAGAAGAGGACGTCTTGGAGATCAAAAGCTCCTGTGACAAACCCACTCTGGATGAGGAACAAAGAGTTACCACCAGGAATGTGATGTCCCCCTCTGCTCCTTTGCTTTCTGGATGGCATCACTGCCAGGGCAAAGCCTGTAATTATGCCCCAAAACCTGTTGTCCCTGGAGCTAATGAGCCTGATTGTTGGAAGGAGGAAACTGGGGCTTGATTTCCTACCTGGCTCCTACATCCTGGAGGAGCCAGGGAGTGGGAGATCCTCTTGGCCATGTCTTCACTAAGCAGCTGTGGGCCACACAGTTTTTGGTCTGGGGTGGGAATGTCACCCTGTAACAGGGACACAACCCTCCCCAGGGGGTGAAGAAAAGCCAGCAGGGGCCTGATGGAGAGGTGGGAACTGGTTTCAGGAGGTGAGCAGCAGGCAAGGACAGGCAGCACTGTCCTTCAGAAGGACTGAATAGCTTTGTAAGGTCCTTCCTGGGCTTCTCTCCACCCACCAGTGAAAGAAGACCTGGGCAGAGACCTAAGAGTTTGACATAGGTGTCACTGAACCCATCCCAGCACTGTGGTACAGGTGGGGAAACTGAGACACAAGGTAAGAACATGTCTGGCTGACAAGCTGTTGCCTGAGCAACAAGAAGGACTCGGGTGTCCTGAGCTCTGGCCCAGCATGAAGCCACCAAAACATAACATAACCCTTGCCTGATTGCTCCCAAACTCAGTGGCACAATAACCCTCTCAAATCCTACGGGAGCTCTGGTGCAGCCAGAAGAAGTGCCCAGGAAACCTCCCTGGAGATAAACCCAGGCACAAAAGTGGGCTGAAAATGAGGCAGATGGGTGGTCCAAGCCAGCACCTACCTGCCAGGAGCTGAATGGCTCCACCTTCAAGGAGGCAAGACAGCAAAGCCCAGCCACATAGCAGAGCCACTTCTGCTTGGCCAGAGCAACGGAGTAGAGGACGACGCAGTGGGAGAGGATGATCATCAGGTAGACAAGCCCCATGCTGCCCAGCACGGCCAGGACCCCATACAGCATGTACACCACGGCTCGGTGCTGTGAGAAGACAGTGGCCTCCACTCATGGTCAGCTTGGTGAAAGCCCCAACCCTACTCCCTCTGTCCTAGAACATCCCCGCTCCTAAAACATCCTCCCCATGCTTGAACACGCCCCCATCCCAGAACACCCCCTTATCCCAGAACATCCCCCAAGCCTTCTCCTCTGATCCCAGGTCACCCTGGTGCTTTCGGACCCCTCCCACTCCATCCCTGGCTCACCTGTGGCACTGTCATGGAGCAGAGCTTGCCAAAGAGGACGTGTCCTGAGAGGGCGAAGATGATGACGTTCCTGAACGAGGTGAACCACATCACCCACTCGAAGTCAGCCACGTCCTGTGGGAGCAGCACCCCGTGCCTTACTGTGCACAGCCCTCACACCCCACCCTGACACCCATCCAGTGGGGAAGCCACTCCACTTCCAAAGCCTTTTCTTCCCATTTTCCACCCAAGGGCTCCCCGAGCACTTTTGCTCACTCACAAAGCCCCAGGGGAGATGTGCAGAGGTTGCTCGTCTCGGTGCACCCCAAGCAGAGCATCTGCTGCAAGGCTGGTACTTTCCTGGCTAGTTCTTTAGGGACAAAAACCAGGAGTCACGTGGAGTTTGCAAAACTGTGTCAGCAGCAGAAAAACCAGCTCTGCTCCTCCTCAGCACCAACCATGGCACCAGCCTCACAGAACGTTAGAGTTTGGAAGGGAACTCCAAAGAGCATTGAGTCCAACCCCCCTGCCCAAAGCAGGACCAAAACTAGTGCAGATCACTCAGAAATGCATCCAGACAGGTCTTGAAAGTCTCCAGAGGAGGAGACTCCACAGCCTCTCTGGGGAACCTGTTCAAAAGCTGCAAAAGGCAGATGCCTTCCTCTGCTTACCATCTTCCTGCCAAAGTAGTGCCAGCCCGGCTTGATGCCGTCCCGGAAGGCTTTTCTGTTCATGCTGTCTGCAAGAGAACCAGAGATATAGGGAGAGGAACAGCTCTGGGAAACAGGGCCTGGGCTTGGTCAAGGCAGGGAACCTTCTTGCTTTATGAAGAATGTGGCCAGCAGGTCAAGAGAGGCTGTCCTCCCTCACTGCTATGCCCTGGTGAGGCCCCGTCTGGAATACTGGGTCCAGTTCTGGGCTCCCCAGTTCACAAAGGATGAGGAACTGCTGGGAAGAGTCCAGTCCAGGCCACTAAGGTGAGGAAGGGACTGGAGCACCTGCCCTGTGAGGAAAGGCTGGGAGAGCTGGGGCTGTTCATCCTGGAGGACTGAGGGGGGGAATCTCATAAACACTTATAAATATCTAAAGGAGGTATAAGGAGGATGGGGCCAGACTCTTCTCAGCAGAGTCCAGTGGCAGGAGAGGGGGAATGGGCACAAACTGCAACACAAGAGGTTTACCCTAAACATAAGGAAAAACTTCCTTATTGTGAGGGTGACAGAGCCCTGGGCCAGGCTGCCCAGAGAGCTTGTGGAGCCTCCATCTCTGGAGACTTTCAAGACCTGTCTGGATGCATTTCTGAGTGACCTGCTCTAGGTGAACCTCCTCGAGCAGGGGGACTGGGCTAGATGATCTCCAGAGGTCACTTCCAACCCCGACCACTCTTTGGTTCTGTGTGATTCCTCCCCAGTGCCCATGGACAGCCTCAGCAGTCGACAGTCTCAGCAAGAATTCCCATCAAAGCCTTTTGCCATCCCATGGATCCCCAGCCGATCCCATGACATTTCCAGTGTTTTGGGCTTCCAGACAAAAAAAAAAGACTGGAGAACCAGCCCTGTGTAGGCAGGGTGCTTGCCTATTCCAAGCATGGGCTGGAGGGGTGAGAAGTGCCATGGAAACAGGGACAAGGGGACAACCAGGCAAAGAACCTTTTTGATCCCCGCAAAGGGTTCCCAAGCTGTTCTCCACAAAAAATTAAAGCCAGGGAACTACTGCTGGTATTGACAGCTATAAAAGCAGCCACCTTACACCCACCCTGCCTGCCAAGGCCCCCTCTGAGGGACAGGATGGAGAGTGTTACCTCTGGATGCCTCGAAGATCCCACTGCCACTGTACACCACAGCACACGTCACCACGAGAGCATAAAAGCCCAGTTCATAACTGGGGAGTGTGGATTTAACCCCCATAGTTGGCAGGTCACTGTCCCAGCCTGGGTGGGGGATCCAGACCTAGGAAAGAAGAGGAAGAAAGGGGGGAGGAAGAAAG